ATAACCGCTTAGGCGAAACAATAGAGAACAAAAGGACTATTGTTCGGAGATTAAGTGAAAGGCACACAAAAATGAATATGTAATAGCCCACAAAAATATTGAATATATTAACCCACAAATATTCATGAGCACACAGATTTTTTCCACAAATCCCACAAAAAAAGGGGGTCCGTGCTATGCAGCTAATACGACTAATGTTGACACTAGAACGTGGATCTGGAAATGTAATATACTTATACGCTGGCTGAGTCAATGTCACTCACTTTCAGCCAATGGTGAAGACGTTATACGATAGCGTCTTCAAGTCAGATTGTTCAAGTCGCCATTTTTCTGGTCAGTTAAATGACATTAGTAATGACTATGATTCATCGAAAGAGAAATCTCAGTTTCTAGGATGGTAAAAAGCTGATAATGACAGCTCTCTTTATTTGTAGTTTGAGTAGAAAATCAGCTTGATGATACAAGATGATACTGTATGACCACTAGAAGAAAGATGTATGGCCACTAGACTCAGCTGATGTATTTAGTACGCGAATGCAGACCAAACAAGATACARTGAACACCATGAACTCTTTCGTTTGTTCTTTGCCGTTTCTTGGGAATTCCCTTTTAACKCTTTAGTATATGTAGTRTCCTGGCCAGGAMCATGTACAAATCCAGAAACTTTATTYGGTAGAAGTCGATCGCCAGAATAATTCAGACCGTTGCTATTAAACTTTATATTGACATATATATTGTTAAGTATTTTATATATTGTCCAGAATCGGCTTCCAGAAATCAGATCACTAGAGCTCCGAGTTTTTCTCCAGGAATAATAGGTAAACGTATGGTAACTGAGGTTTACCAGGAAGAAGTACTAGTCCAGGATATACTGCTGGTGGCGTTAAGTCCTTCAATTGTGATCGGAATTACAAATGATCGTAAATGAATATTGTAATTATTGGCAACCGCCTGCGATGAAACTTTTATGAAGATATGAGTTTTCTTCAATGTTTGTAACCAATGCACCTCGGCATCACAAATCGGATTCGCACTTTCTCAAGAATCTGTATCAAAAAAACGGACGGACTAGTCTGTCTAGTTTAACTTGTTCAAACTAAATTATGTTTAGAACGATAGATCGATGATTAGTTCTTCCAGAATATGTTCCAGTAGATATCTGGTGCTCATGAATTCTTAATCAGTGCGGGCGGGTGTCTGCGGTTTCAACAAATCTGTCCACAAATCGTTGAGTCTGAAAGTAGTATGGTTGAAACAAATCAACAGGCGTGATGACTCTGGAACGTTTGATCAACGGGTATTGTTAATCTTCAAATCTCACTGAGCTATAAAATATTTAAAACAAACTAAATCGAAGAAAGTATCGCTCACTCAGCTGTAGGAATCGTAGAACTGTAGAACTGCAAGGACCGTGACAAAAAGTCCAACTTCCTCCCATRCAGAAACGTATTGAGCCAATGGAAATTAACACCAACTATTAAATTAGAACGTTTGATCGTCTTCTTCTATCAATTATCACTTAATTATTCGTACATTCCGTTGAGAAAATATCCCACGCAATATATATTGTTCGGGAAGAACCAGATCAGTTCAGTGGAATCTAGGAAACTGTAGTCACCACATATGGACACATTCACAGTCTTTCCGCATTTGATTAGTTATCATAAATTGAATTCTACCGTCTTTTTAACATTGATGCGTCATATCAATAAAGCTGAGACTTATGGTGAGATCATACCAATTGTTATAAGTGTCTGATTGTGTCTTAAATGGCACGGAGGATCAGAGCCCTTTCATTGAATTGTCTAACTCTCATTGGTACCATAAKCAACACATGGATTTGGAAGGGATTTTTATCACTAGATATGGATTAATTGAATTCAGTCCAAAACAAACAAACAAACAAACCTATGAAGAAAACGGAAAAAATTGACTTATAATACATGGATGTAAGCCGTTATTTGAAAATGACACGCTGTATTACTTCAAAATTCTGCAGTAGCAGAATGATTCTACATATGTTTAACTATGCAATCAACTGAGTACACGACACGACGATAAGTTTCTTCGAACTAACATTAGAATAGTAATTAAATAAAGRTACCAAACGAATTTTAAACAGCACAGGTRMKYACCTGTACAAACCAATTAGCGCTGTTTGAAGAAATGGGAACGCCCTGCTGCGAACGGCATGTCAGTAGTAGAAACTACATTTTATTGCTGGTAGCCGTAACTTCCTTGCTTTAATTTTTTTACGTAAGGTACAAATGAAATACCATGTTTCAGTCAAAGTTCAAACTAACTAACTTTCAATAAGCACACTGTGAAAAGTCTAATGTACGTTGGGGGCCTTTTAGTGTATGAACTGTATTTCTCTTTGGGATTCCAAACCGGACAGTCACACCAAAGCGATAAGGAGTTTTCCTTTGTCAATACAGAGACGTTTAGCAAATTCTTCGGAATGTTTCTAGCCAAAATCTACATAAGAAGTGAGTGAGAGAGTGACGAGTGTATTCCCTTCCAATAAGGCTTTGGTGAGGAATCGAAAGGAAAGAAAACGCACGGTTTTTCTGTTATTACGCGACGTTGTAAACTTACTACATCGAGGCGAGCCCTCGCGTACAGCGGTGCAATAGCTTATAACAATCTCTCGAACGATCTCAAACATGAACCCAGCTACAATATTTTTAGAAATTTAGCTTATAAGCACCTTTTAGATTTATTATAGTTTTATACAAATTATTAACCTGCTAATTGTTAATAATTTCTTATGCATATTTCATATTTATATTTTATTGTTATTATTGTATTTTAGATATATCTTGATGGCCCAGTGGTAGATTAGTCTCTGACTAAACTGGTATACCATCATTAAATAAAGTTGTTTATCATTATCATTGTTTCAGTGTCGTCATGATCAACGCCGTTATCAAGCAAATGTTCGTTATTATAATAATATACAAGTGTAGAGTGAAAAATCATTGAATAAATTAACAAAAGTGACAAACGAAACAAAAGATATTTACACATGCTACCAATAGAAAGCTCTCCTCGATTGCATACATTCAAGAGTTAAATAAACAGCACTTCCAGAAAAAATCATTTAAAAACATAAACATTACGTGAAGCAAGCTACCGACACGTTTCTACAAACCAGTATAAGATAAGCAATTAGATAAAGACATTAAGTGAACTGTATACACCACAGGTAAGAACCTGCGCAAACCAG